CTTGCTCTGTCACCTAGGCTGGAGTGCAGTGGTGCAATTTCGGCTCACTGCAACCTTCGTCTCCTGGATTCAAGCGATTCTCCTGCTTCAGCCTCCTGAGTAGCTGGAATTACAGGCACCTGCCACCACACTCAGCTAATTTTTCTATTTTCAGTAGATACAGGGTCTCACCATGTTGGCCAGGCTGGTCTTGAACTCCTGACCTCAAGTGGTCCACCCACCGTGGCCTCCTAAAGTGCTGGGATTACAGGTGTGACCCACCGCACCCAGCTGGGCCTATAATTTTTCTAAAGTAGTTACAAAAAGAATACTTTATACCTTTTATTCCGTATGTATTTAGTGCCTTTATTTAATATTCTGAAATATTTCAAAAGAGAATATTTAGATCCTCTTGCTAGAATGTCTAAACTGAGTCTAATCCTGGAAAGAGACTTGTGTTAAAGTATCAGAAGCAGCTTTTTTGACATTGTCATCCTGCTGAAAACTGCCCTTCCTTTGGAAGTGAGCATTGAGCTATCTTTGCTAGATCTTTTTTCAGTGTTTCCCAGGGATCTCTGTGTACTATCTTGGTACTTAATGGTTTGCTGTTTCACATATCTTGGCTTCACCTTAATTTTAAGTTGTTCTTCCCACAATGTTCAATAAGATGAATAAGCACATGGTAGGTGATCAACAGATACTTAGTGAGTGAATGAACCACGTGTAGAAAACATGTTCTGCATCCTGAACTAACCTGAAAAAGATACCATATAATACAAACACCCTTTCCAAACACTTAAACCCGATTTTCCTCACGATGTAACCTGATATATGACAGTAGGTAGTAGTATAATGAAAACATCACTAGTTTAGAAATTAGGGGACTGGGCTTCTCATCTAGATGCCAACACCATCTAAATATGAAATAGTGCGTTAATCTTTCTGGATCTTAAGTTGCTTGATCCATAAAATTATGAGTAAGAGTACAAGCTGTTTAAAGTTGTGAAAGCTCTAAAAATGTGGATAATAAAAATTTTGCATCCTAAGCAAATGTCTAGAGGGAAGACGGAGTACAGACCCCATGAACTATAACTGCACTGCTCTCAAGTACCTGAAATAAGGCTTGTCAGGAGACATCGTAATTTGTAAGACTTCACTCGTCATATCCAATTCAGAAAATGCTTCACGGAGCCCCTCTGACTGCAGAATAATTTTATTAATAACATTGGTGCTGCAGAAGTCAAAGTCCAGGGTCTCCTCAGGTTCCTGCGTATTGATTTTGCAGACTGTCACCACACCTCCTTCTTCTAGGAACAGCATCAAAGGGTAACCATAACCTTGGTAACACATCCGAAGAGCAGTTAAAGTCCCTGCAATGGAAAGAAATCATACTTGGCCTTAGCTTTATAGCTCTGGGTTCAGCTTCTCCTCAAAATGATATAAAATTTCTCAAGAATAATTCATTCCACTCAATTTCTTGCATATATGTATTTCCTCATAAAAAGGGATTACATCTTCTCTGATGACAGTTGTGTGTAGACAATTCCAAACATACAAGAAAATTGGGAACCAGAACAAAATGTAACATAACTCTCTGGTATCATTTTCAGGTTGTCATAAATACCTCAGAAATAGCTTGATTTTATATACATAAAATTTCAGGATAGAGAATCTACATGGATCAACACAGCAAGTAACCAAATTGCTGCAGAACAGAGTATGCTATTTCTTGAAGGTTCAATATGTTAACAGTGGACTGCTATGTGTACTGTAATGTCAGTGTATTCACTCTTATAGGGATTCTTCCAACTTTTCCAACTCAGATATTCTTTGTATTTCCTCAAATTTCAAAATCAAATTGAGACAAAAAGAGGGTTGTTAATAGTAGTGTAAATTTTAACACTGCAAACCATTCAGGGAAGGAGGGAAGTGACAGGATATTCATACTCCTCCTTACTGCATGGAGAGCCACAGTGAGGAATGGAAGATGACAGATTCTTTTATGAAAAACCAGCTGGAGAATACTGTATTAGAAAATGTATAGTTAATAACAGTGGAATTGTCAGTAGAAAATTAAAATACATTTTTCTGGAGAACTATATTGAATTTTTCCTAATCTCCAGGTTGCTTTCCTATGAAATAAAATCATTCTTCTGGGGATTCCTTACAGTTTTAGACCCAGAGCAACTGAATTTCATCATTCTTAAAAATAATTCCCTTAAGAAAAAAATGTATGTTTTAAAGAAAATCATTTGGCAAAATAGACATAACTTATAAAATATGGCTTGAAAGAAACAAATTTTGAACACAGTACAAACTAGGAGTCAGTAGAGCTGGCTTCTGTTTTTCCCTGCCATTAACTAGCTGAGTAATTCTGGACAAGTTAGGGAAAAGGAGCAATTACATTTCACAATGTTAAAGATATTTAAGACATGCCCAAAGTATTCTTTTGGCCAGTTCAAATTTAAAATCCCTCAAAGCCTTGTAAATTAAAAAAAGAAGAATGTAAATACTTTTACAAATGAAAAGAACTATTAGACACACTTGCAATTAACATTGGGAAAAGTTAGAACCCATGACTGTTGCCAATGAAAAATGAATTGGCAATAACTTTCTGAACAAATGTTTATATTCCAAATAACTTCCTGAATTTTTCTGACCATTGTATATCACACTTTTATGTCCTTCTACTGATAATAGTTTACCTGGCATAGGACTTGATCCAAAAATAGATAAACAGTCTAAAAGGACAGTTAAATTAATTCGAAACGTAACAGATTCTTCCTGAACTTTAAACTCCTGAAATATTCCAGCCTATGAAAAAAGTAAAAATGAAAATGGTTACATAAAAGAATGAAAACTAATATATAAGGTCCTAGATTTCACTTTATATGTTTAAAAAATACAATACTGTGCTAATCCCATGAGAATAATTTCTCATTAGCAATCAAAACATCTTAGAGACATCCTTGTGAAGCATCCTCATCTCCATTCCTGGATCTAAAACTATCCCTCTATGATTATCCCTTGTCTCATTTTTGTGCCTATCACTACTGCTAAGGTCACTTGGAAAATACACAAACGACTTGGTAACGCATGAGCAGTATCAGTTTCAACTTTTATTATTTTTTATTGATATGGGGGTCTCACTATGGTTGCCCAGGCTGGAGCGATCTTCCCACCTCTGCCTCAGCCTTCTGAGCAGCAGGGAAAACAGGTGTGAGCCACTATATCATGCCCTGCATGAGGACAAGAACCATGTCTTATTTACCTTTCTATCCCTGAGGTCATGCTGTGCACTTAGGTGTTAAAAAATGCTTAGTTGAATTTGCAATCCTATCTTAACCATACAAATATTACTTTGGAAGAATAAAAATTCTATTACAACCAGTAAAAGGAAAAAATACTCTTTAGTACTAGTAAGGTGGTAGTATCGCAGTGGTAAAGAGCATATATTCTGGAAACAAATGTTCAGGGTTCTTATCCCAATTCAGCCACTTAACAGCTGTGGGGCTGCTGGCAAATCACGTAAATTGTGCCTCGTTTCCACATATACAAAATGGGAATAATAAGAGAACCTACCTTACAGGACTATTGTTAAGATTAAATAAATTAAATACTAAGAGGAGTGCCTAGCCAATAGTCTAGCTTTTTAGTCGTTACTAACCATTATCTCTGCAAAACAAGATGGAAAAAGAATTTGTTATCAGGAGAGAAAAAAAATTCAAGTAATGATGTTTTGTTCTCTGACTTAAGACGATAAAGTTATTTATTCATATATTATTTATTTACGACTATTGACTATATTTATTGTCTACTAAAACCTTCAGATTTCATTAAATTGCATTTAGAATATCTATGGCACAGGCTTAAAGGCGCCTATTTCCATACCTGAATAAAAGCATTTGCTTGCACACACTTTGCGTTTTCCACTGTTACTTTGATTCCATTTTTAGTTGCAAAACACGTGGCATGTTCTCGGAAATGAATAGCTTTCAAGATAGTGGAGAGATTCCTAACGTTGTCAAGGCTGGCCACAAGGCTGTACTGATCATCCTCGTCTTGGATCTGTTGGGTCAGAAGGGGCATTGTCCGCTGCACATTCAGCCCCGAGGGATGCTTCTGGGGCCAACACCTGCTCCCGCGGATCGCCAAATACCTGAAGGGATTGGACAATAAAACTCCCATCAGGGCTGGCGAGGTCTGGCGAGCTCCACCTGCGCTGAGAAATGGAAAGGGGCTGGGCAGCTGAACTTGACTGACAAGGCCGAACCCCACCAATGCCACTTAACTGTCTTTGTAACTCTGGGAGAAAATTATCTAAGCTACGGTTTCCTCATCTCCGTAAGGGGACAATAACGTGAAAAGTTGTGAAGAATGAAGATACGCAACTGACACGGTATCTCCGCTTGGGGCCAGCTTATCCCGGCCAAACAGGACCTACGAATCCGCACTGAGTCGCTTTTGTGTCGCCCGCGCCACAAGCCTCGCCTCCAGCGCAACAGGCGAGGGGGGGAGGGCTCGGAGTGCCCAGAAGATCCCCCAAGAGACCCAGACAAACTCATTCATCAGCTCGCCCGCTGGACAGCATCACTTACTACTCTCAGTCGTCGAGTGCTGACACCCTACCTTTGCAGTGGGGTCTGGACGCCCGAGAGCCCTTCCTGGCAAAGTCCCTGAGGGGTAGCAAGACGGCTCAGAAAAACCGCGGAGGAAGGGAAGCGGCTCCCTACACTTTTCAGCTCGGCCCTCCACCTCAGCCACCGTCACCACAGAGCTGAATGCAGCCTAGAGAGCCAAGCGTGCAGCGCCTTCAAGACCGGAAACAGGCAGGCACCACAGAGCTGGAGGACGATCGCTGAACCGAGCGCTTAGAGCCGCCGAACCATAGAGATCGGAAAAAGGAGCGAGCGGCCACACCGGAAAGAAGGCCAAGAGCGCAGGCGGTTAGACAAGATGGCAGCAACCAAGAGGAAACGGCGTGGAGGCTTGGCAGTTCAGGCGAAGAAGCCAAAAAGAAACGAAAAAGATGCCAAACCGCCAGCTAAGCCTCGCGCCACTGCAGAGGAGGTGGAGGAAGAAGAGAGAAACCGGATCCCAGGCCCCGTTTGCAAGGTAGAAGGGTTACATCTGCAGCGGCGGCTCTGTGCGTCTTTTCTGGGGTTACTTGACTACAGCTCTGCTAGTTTTCGAGTAGCTAGGGTGTTAACGGTAGGTCGGTTTTAGCAATTCTCCCGGCCAGACTGGGCACGGAGTTTACAGCTAATTCTTGTGCACGTGGCCGCCCTCCTGGAGGCGGCGAGTTTTAAAACCTTAGCCGGCCCACGCGGAAGCGACTGACAGGGTGCTCAGATCTAGCGTTGTCTTCCTAGTAGTTCAATTTTTTTTGGAGGGTAGTGGTTTTCCTTGGTTATTTCTCGCTATTGAGTATTTCTTCCGGTGATTAGTATTCCAGTATACTGCCGAAGTCAGCTACTCAGGCAGGGATCCTGAAGCTTGTTAGGTGAGCCTTTAAAAAGTTGTTGCTCTTGGGACTGTGAGTTGTTAACCAGGTCTTTAACTCAAGAGATAATGAAAGATAGTCCAGATACTTTGAGCTTTACTTGTATTCAACAGACACTGAATGTGCCATGCATTGTTCCAAGTTAGGCACACTTTGGCAAAGATTGCAAAGGTGACTAGAATGTGACCTCTTCCTCCTGAAATGTTGGAGTTCAGGAGGAAACTTAAGTCAAAGAAGTTGATGGTTTTTATTCAAAAGAAGTGCACACAAGTTGTTTCAGTTAACTTTCATTCAACTAAGAACTATTCTTAAGCTACACAGTATACTGTGGAGACAAGGATTATCTTTGACATTAATTTCTCTGTCCTCCTCACTTAGCATAGTACTCTAGTAGGGAGTAGGTGATAAGTAAATGACCCCATGTGGTGTGATGGTGAGCTCTGAGAAATGAAAGTTAAGTGTAAATTCTAGGATCATTATTAACAGCAACATTCTGTGCTCTTTTCTGACCTGCAGATCAGGTGGGGGTGGGGGGCGGCGGGGGATTATTTACTTTTTATGAAAAATAAGCTGGACTTGTACACTTTCAATAAATGTTAGTGCTCTCTTCAATTAAGGCGCTAGCTTCTATAATCTGAGCCACACTTTAAATACATTCTGTGGAAATGCAGGAGATTGAGATTACTTTTACCCTAGTATAATAAAATAAAAAATCTTGAAGGATTTAGATTTAGCCTTTAAGCTGCATATCAGGGGAACAGTAGAATTTTGACATTCAAAAATGAGAGGGAACACTCTAAGGGAGAGAAAAAAGAACTGATGAAAGACTTTGAAATAGGGAAATGCTGAAAAATGTATAAAATAGAACTAGATTGGATTGCATTAGGCTTCATTTAGGGCAATAATGATGTAAAAATGAAAATTTATTTTACAATTCAGTGTCAAAGCTATGTAATTCAGACTTTGTTTAGAAAACTGCGAAGTAAGGATGTGACAGAAGTATTACTTTAAAAAGTAAGCTGTTGAAAAAGCTAGTCAGCTATATCTATTGGAGGAGCTCATCTCTGGGATGGTTAGTCATTTAGGAGTTTTGTGGTTAATATAAGACACTAAATAAGTGCAGTGTGAATAAGAAAGGATTAAGAATTGTTGAAAAGAGAAATTGATAGCATTTTATAGTGCTTATGATGATATGGGAGAAAAAAGGCAAATCGAAGATTCAAAGGCTGAGGGACTGAAGTGACAGCATCCAAAAAAAAGGAAAAGAAAGAAAATGAAATAGCAAGGAAATACACCAGATTTAAGGTCTAAGATAATGTTTAGTATTGTAGAGTTGAGTTTGAGGTGTTAATGAAATACTTGAATTATTAGGGCTAGAGAGAGTTCCTTTCTGTAGAGTGGACAACAATTAACATTGTGGGAAGTTATTATGAGACCTGCCATAGAGAGCACAGAAAAGAGAGGGCTAAGCAAGAGCCTTAAGGGTTAGGAAGAGGAATTGGAGAAACTGAAGACGAAAAACAAGACGGAAACCAAGGAGGGCATTTCTGGGTGGCAGATGTGGTCAGTGAATGTTGCTGAGAGATGAAATTAAAAGAGTCAGGATGGTTTGACTTGCTACCTGGAAGCTCTTAAAAAACAGGGCCAGGTGTGGTGGCCCTCACCTATAATCCCAGCACTTTGGAGGCCAAGCTGCTTGAGCCCAGCAGTTGGGGACCAGCCTGGGCAACACAGGGAGACCCCGTCTTTACAAAAAAATAAAATTAGCTGGGCATGATGGGACATGCCTGTAATCTGCAGCTACTGCGGATGCTGAGGTGGGAGGATAACTTGAGCCCAGGAATGTGAAACTGCAGTGAGCTGTGAGCCTGCAGCACAGCACTGCAGCCTGGGCAACAGTGTGAGAACCTCTCTCAAAAACAAGGTCAGTTCAATATGATATTTTAAAATCTTTTAACATTTTCTCTTTCTTTAGGGCAAATGGAAAAATAAGGAACGAATTCTCATCTTTTCTTCCAGAGGAATAAATTTCAGAACAAGACATTTAATGCAGGACTTGAGAAGGTTGATGCCTCATTCTAAAGCAGGTACCTTTACATCATATACTTTAGAAATTCCTATCTATAAACTTACCTATTTATATGTTTATATTTATTTTATATATTCTTCATTTGTTCAGTCTTTTCAGTAAAAAAAACACAGTACTTTTTATCCTTTCAAGTGCCACAATTTTTCCAGTTAACATTTTGTTAGAAATTCTTTAGACTTCATTAAGTAGTTTCTTTACTTTTAAAAACAGATATCCTAATATTGTTGAAACATTTCTTGAAGGTCCAGGAATGCTTTTATTGTAATGCTCCTAAAGGTCATGACATAGGTGGGATAGTTTGTCCTAAATGATTCAGGACTACCGTGTATTACTTTTTAAGCTTTTATTTATTTATTTATTTTTAAACTGTTTTTATTGAAAAATGGATGTCGGATAGAATTTGAAGCACCTTTTAAGTTGAAGTCAGAGCCTATTTCTAAATGCCAAGTTATTTATTTATTTTTAAGCAATGGGTTATTTTACAGGCACAAACAGTATGACCGGGCATGGTGACTCATTGCCTGTAATCTCAGCATTTTGGGAGGCCGAGGTGGGTGGAACACTTAAGTTCAGGATTCCAGACCATCCTGGGCAACCTGGTGAAACCCTGTATCTACAAAATAAAAAAATGAAAAAAGTAAAGTAGCCAGGTGTGGAGGCCACCCACCTGCAGCCCCAGCTACTCAGGAGTCTAAAGCAGGAGGATTACTTGAACCAGGAGGTCATGGCTGCCATGAGCCATGATCGTGCCACTACACTTCAGCATGGGCGATGAGCAAGACCCCGTCTTAAAAAAAAATAAAAAGTTTATAACAGTGGAGTGGCCGCGCCCTCATATGGCTGTTGTGCTTATGTTGAGAGGTGCTTTGTTTTTTTGTTTTTTTAATTTTTAAATTCAGGGGGTATATGTGCAGGTTTGTTACATGGAGAGTCAGTTTTCTTTGACACCTGTGATTAAAAAGTGAAAGATATTTTCAGTGAAACTGGTTTCCTTTAACATAGTCTTTGGTTTGTGAGAATTTTTCCATTTTTTAAAAGGTTTCCTAGAATACCTAAAGACCAAGAAACACTGCTTAAACTATATAATTCTTGCAGACTATTTTGTACTTATTTTCTGTACAGTTACAAAGAACCAAGATTTTTTAAGTGATTGTTTTCAGGTTTTGTTTTGAAAATTAATGGTAAAAATCTCCTTTAAACTAAAGAGTGTAAAAACAGTTTCTAGATAGCATATGTGATTTGATTGAAGTAACTTTGAATTCACTTTTAATTTACTTGCTTTTTCTTTTTTTCTAGATACTAAAATGGATCGTAAGGATAAGCTATTTGTGATTAACGAGGTAATTTTGGAAAGTAATTGCAATAAAATATTTTAGAAACACTAACAATTGCTTATTTCAAAAATAAGTTATTCAGTGACTTTAAAAATTGTTTTATAAAAGCTGTTCAGACACATTTTATTATCTCTTCAATAACTGGTCTTTCAAATTTTTATATCTCACAGTTTAGTGCTTCACACATTTCTGTTTGTCTTGTTTGAACAATATATTGAAATTTCCTCAGGACAATGATTGTATCTCATTTTTTAATCCCGTAGTGTCTAGTATTATGCCACATCTCGAGTAGATACTCAAAAAATTATCAGTCAACATATGTAAAGTAAAATAAAAAGTCCATTAAACATATATGTATGAAAACCCACATGGTAAAACGCATTTTGCCAGTATTAAAAGTGATTCATGTGGAATTGGCACTTAAGCTATTACAAACTAGGAATAGGTTACATTTTCAAAGTATTTTTTAACATATTACACTCACGTATTTTTTTTAAGCTCTAGAAGCACAGCACATAAATTTACATTTTAAAGCAAAATTTTCAAAACTTAGAAGAATTAAGATCGTTTTTTCACTATTAGAAAGCGTTCTTTAGAGCACAAACTTTAGAACCTCTGCTATAATATCACACTATTCTATGTGCTATAGAAACTGTTTAACAGAGCAATGTTCCTGTCATTACGGAACTTACATTCAAATGGAGACAGGCCATAAACAAGGTTTATAATTTCAAGTAAAGATAGGAGAAATAAAGCAGGTTATAGGTTTTCGACAGCTCAGTCTAGAGCGGAAAAACATTTTCAAAGGGATGATGTTTAACTTAATATAGAGAAGATGGCAACTACAAAGGCCCAGAAGTGGCACAAACTTCCCATTTTTATGTTTATCTAAGACAAGTAAGAAACAAAAGCATTGGACCTAAGATTCTTTTTTTTTTTTTTTTGAGACGGAGTTTCGCTCTTGTTACCCAGGCTGGAGTGCAGTGGCGCGATCTCGGCTCACCGCAACCTCCGCCTCCTGGGTTCAGGCAATTCTCCTGCCTCAGCCTCCTGAGTAGCTGGGAGTACAGGCACGCGCCACCATGCCCAGCTAATTTTTTGTAGTTTTAGTAGAGACGGGGTTTCACCATGTTGACCAGGATAGTCTTGATCTCGATCTCTTGACCTTGTGATCCACCCGCCTCGGCCTTCCAAAGTGCTGGGATTACAGGCTTGAGCCACCGCGCCTGGCCAGATTCTTTTTTAAGTTGTTAGGGTTTATTTGTTTGTTTTAAATTTTTTTGGAGACAGTGTCACTGTGCCGCCCAGGCTTGAGTGAAGTGGTGTGATCTCAGCTCACTGCAACCTCTGCCTCCTGGGTTGAAGTAATTCTCCTGCCTCAGACTCCCTAGTAGCTGGGACTACAGGCACATGCCATTATGCCCAGTTAACTTTTTGTATTTTTAGTAGAGACAGGGCTTTGCCTTATTGCCCAGGCTGGTCTCCAGCTCCTGAGCTTAGGCAGTTTACCTGCCTCAGCCTCCCTAAGTGCTGGGAGTACAGCCATGAGCCACCTCATCCAGCCGTAAGTTGTTAGGTTTAAAGTCTGAAATATGGAGTTTATGAGTATTATATTATTTAGAGTTTATGAATACTATAGCAATAAAAGACTTCACTCCTATAATGTTTTTGTATATTTCTCAAGTGTGACTTTTGTAAACCTTCAGGACATTGAAGTTTAATTTGAAATAGGTTTTATATAGACGTTTTACCCAAGCTCTTAGTGATTTTATAGAACCAAATCACCAGAAATGGTAGTATAAATGAAGAACAGCTTAAGTTTTGTGATCTTAAAATCAAAAAGCTAAAAAGTTAAAAATCTAAATAATCTTTAAAAAGGATGTTTTTAGTTCTATAAGGATCTGGATTTTCATAAGATTGGCTAAGAAGATTGATTATGAAGGATTAGCATAAGAAGATTAATTGTGGTATGCCTTATCCCTAGGGCAACTATTTTCAGTCTTTTTGTAGTTTGTACATGGGACTATGGGCAGAAGAGGTTCCCAGTAATCAGAAGTGAGACCATTTTAGATACTAGGCCCAAAAATATGATAGATACTTTCACCCAACAGATGGGCAGAGCATCTAGTTTACCTTGGGTAGAATACCTCAGAGGAACTTTAAAGCTTCCTTCTATGAAGGAATAAATGTTTAGGCCTTTGTAGCCTATTAACCTAGTTAGATATTTTTGAGGGAATCTAGATGATATTAATCACATCTAATTACTTTAGTTCTCATTTATATTATCGACTTCATTTTCCTATACTTTGCTTCATTTAGGTTTGTGAAATGAAAAACTGTAATAAATGCATCTATTTTGAAGCTAAGAAAAAACAGGATCTCTATATGTGGTAAGAGAATGTATTAAGATTTTGGCTAAACTCATTTTATTGGATAAAGAAAATATATGCATATTATAAGCATATTCTGGCATTTTTTTAATGGTGAATAGGTGGTAAGCATTGACTGCATTCGCTAATTCGCTGAAAAAGCTTCCTCCGTATCTTTCAGGCTTTCAAATTCACCTCATGGACCATCTGCTAAATTCCTAGTTCAAAATAGTAAGTTGACTCAATAAAATTTTTTAGATGAGAAAATTAAAAATGATCTTTTGGAATAGTTGTGCAAAAGTTATAACTATTTCTGTTTTTGTTGTAATTTTTTTAGTTCATACCCTTGCTGAACTAAAGATGACTGGAAACTGTTTGAAAGGCTCTCGGCCCCTTTTGTCTTTTGACCCGGTAAGTTTCTCACTCAGTGTATGAGGTCTAATTTTCTTATCTGGCATGATTGTATAGTTGTGTAATTCAGTTTAGTTAACATAGAAACAAATGAGCAAACAGTTTTAAACAAGGCACTCTACTGTTGTCAAATAATATGCTTATTTTACTTTTATAGGCTTTCGATGAATTACCACATTATGCTTTGTTAAAAGAACTCATAATTCAGGTAAATATCTTTTCTAAAAAGTATCTTTAGTAGTATAAGTGAGCATCTTCTTTGAACTTTTCCTTAGCTATCCAAAATATACGTGATATATTTTGGAATAAGGAACTAACATATACTTTTTTTTACTAGATCTTTAGTACACCACGGTATCATCCCAAAAGCCAACCATTCGTGGACCATGTGTTTACTTTCACCATTTTGGATAATAGGATATGGTTTCGGAACTTTCAGGTAAGCTTTACTTAATTTTTAATTATACTTTTTTAAAATTGAATTAATTTTTTTTTTTTTTAGAGACAGAGTATTGTTATGTTGCCTAGGTTGGTCTTGAACCTCCTGGCCTCAAGCGATCATCCCTCCTCCGCATCTAGAATAGGTAGGATTATAGGTGTGAGCCACTGTGTCTGGTCAAGTTTTAATTAAACTTTCAGATAAGGATATATAGGGTTTACAAACACAAAAAATGCAAATAATCCTTTTGTTTTAAATAACTTCCTTTTCCCTACAGAGATTGCTGCAAGTAACTATGTATTACATCTTTTTTTTTTAATTCAATATTTGCAGTTGAACTGTCTTGTGTCTTAAGTGATCTCTTCCTACTCCTATTCATGACTGTTAGTTGATATAGAGTATGGATTTCCTAACAATCATTATATAATTTACTTTATTGAAAGGGAATAGCTTGAAGATCCATGAGATAATTGGGTTCCTAATTTGTGTGAAGTGCTGTAAAGGATACAGTAAAATAGAAGTTTCTCTCTAAAAGCTTAAAAATAATCTGAAGGGTTAAAACCTAGCAAAATGTAATTGCTGTAGAAGCCATTCAGTCGGAACTTTAGATGATGAGTCATACAGTGACTCATTCAGGAGAAGAGGTGATTCTAGAAATCTTGAAGCAGGAGTTTGGCAGGGTAAGTCTGCAGAAAGATGAAGAGGTGGAAGGGAACAGCAAGAACAAAATGTTAGACAGCATGTGACATAACTGAGCTCTGTTCTGCACATTTTATATTGGATACCTGGCATGTGAGTTGAACACATCCTCTTAACCTCTGAGGGCAGACATGTCTGAACCAATAGATAACATAAATATTTGTTGTTCAGAAGTTGCCTTTTAATTCCATAATCAGTAGCTATTAAATAAATTTGACTACATATAATTTTAATCTAAGTTGAAAGAGATTTACGAATTTAGGGATTGATTTAAGTTTCAAGAGTTCTCCCATAGTGTGCTTTAATACATTTTGTTAATAGTGGTTACTATTTTAAAATCTTATTTAACCACAGTTTTTTAAGAATATATGCATTGTGAGAAGCAAGATGTGAACCAAAATCTAATTACTCAATTTTAAAAACACACACAAAAATTTTTCCATGACAACTTCCTATAAGTACTAATAGATTTCAGAAAATATTGATGATTTGGCATTTACCAGGTTTCACCCCGCCTTGATTTTATAGATTATCAATTCTTTCAGGCACATTTATAATGAGATTATAGCTAGTATACCATGTAGGAATAATATATCCAAACCAAAGTGAAATGTTTTCTTTTTATTAAAGATTATAGAAGAAGATGCTGCTCTTGTAGAAATAGGACCTCGTTTTGTCTTAAATCTCATAAAGATTTTCCAGGGAAGTTTTGGAGGACCAACTTTATATGAAAACCCTCACTACCAGTCACCAAACATGGTAAGCTGTTGTGTTGTTCAGTAGTCTTCAATGTACCAGAGCCCTTTTGCCAAAGTGATTCTGTGAAGTTATTACTGTTTTATTACCTGTGAAACTGAATTTGGTTTTTGCTGCCTAGAGACTTGCAAATCACTCCCCCTTTTTCATGACACTGGGTAAAGGAATGTAAGGTTCGTAACTGAAAGTCTTTGCCTTATATAAAATGTTTATTTTTATTCAAAAGCATCTAATCTTTTTTTCCTAGCATCGGCGTGTCATAAGATCCATCACAGCTGCAAAATACAAAGAGAAACAGCAAGTGAAAGATGTGCAGAAACTGAGAAAGAAAGAACTGAAGACTCTTCTTCCACACGATCCCACTGCAGATGTTTTTGTTACACCAGCTGAGGAGAAACCAATAGAAATACAGTGGGTAAAGCCAGAGCCAAAAGTTGATTTGAAAGCACGAAAGAAACGGATTTACAAAAGGCAAAGAAAAATGAAACAGAGGATGGACAGAGGGAAAACAAAATAAGTCAACGAAAACTTGATTTGTTTTCAGTTATTTTATATTTATTTTGTATTCAGTGTGTAAATACTTTTATTATCCAGTATTACTTATGTCTAATTAGTGTGGCATTTAAAAGAAAGAAAAATTAAAATCTTAAAATCAGTGATTATCTGCTTCTAAATAAAACATCATCAGAATTCATCAGTTAATTTCTGATTTCTTTTTAAGGTTTGTATTGCTAAAAATTTAGCACAGTTAAGGTGTGCCTTTTCTCTTGGGTTAGAATTTTTGATTTAGCAGAGCTGAAATGCAGACATTAGGTTATATTATTTGTAAAACAAAGCATTCAGTACTCTGAGAGCATAGGTGGTCGATGGTAAAGCAGGAGTAGACTGGTAGAAAGAAAAGCATCTCACTGAAGTTTACTCTGAGTCACTAGTTAATGAAGCCATGGAAGAGCCAACCTCTGATCTTTTCTCACTTCAGAAAAGTACATGAAAATATTTGGGTTTTGAGAATTAAATGAGTTAATGCCTGTCTTGAAAGCATTTTATAAATTACACATTATGTATGTGTGTATGTATTTTGAGATGGAGTCTTGCTCTGTCACCCAGGCTGGAGTGCAGTGGCGCAATCTCAGCTCACTGCAACCTCTGCCTCCCAGGTTCAAGCGATTCTCCTGCCTCAGCCTCCTGAGTAGTTGGGATTACAGGCATGCATCACCATGCCCAGCTCATTTTTGTTTTTAGTAAAGACTGGGTTTCTCCATGTTGGTCAGGCTGGTCTCGAACTCCTGACCTCAGTGACCCGCCCACCTCAGCCTCCCAAAGTGTTGGGATTACAGGTAAGCCACTGCACCTGGCCAGATTACGTATTTATTTTAGAAGCAGTGTGTATAGATTGCTTATTTAAAAACCTAATAGTAAAAGGAGAAAAAAATAGGAAAGTTGGTTAGAGGGAATACCAGAACATTTGAATTTCTCCCCACATAAAAGAGAAACTGCTTATTATATAAGGGGCACTGGACTTAAGATCTTATGGGTAAATCAATAACAGGTAAAGAAAAGATTGAGTACCAGCGACCATGTAGGTAGGTGGCTGCTGACATGAACATATAAATTTGATACTACATAACACATAGATCTAATGAAATTGCACTGTTTCATCACCTACTTTTTGACTTCACATTGATCATTTTTCTGTGTGTGTGTTCTACATGTTTACTTGCTAACTTCATAGTATTCTGTGTACCATAGCTATGTAATCAGTATGATCAGTATTTTAAGTTTTTCTTTTGCTGGTATAGGTGTTTGTAGTGAATACTCATCTACATATGTTACATATGTCTTTTTATACAACACTCATGGTTTCCTAGAAGTAGAATTTAGGTTAAAGGTTATGAACACTAGGCTTTTTGCCTGCTCCCTCCACCACCGTATCCTCACTAAAGGTTAAAGGGTTCATTTCCTTGTCCCCTTACTAATTTCACTATGCATGAAACAATCTGTCAATAGGTTAAAAACACCATTTTTAAAAATTAGTTACTGGTTTATCCTTTTTGATGGTACTAATCATGTTTGTTTTTCTGTGGTAGGATTGTCTTTTACTGATTTTATAAGAGCTTTTATATAGTAAGTTTATTACAGATATCTTTCCTAGTTCACTTACATTTTAATTTTTTGTCTTCATTATTTTAACCGTAGGCAGGCTGATCAATATTCATGGTTTTTTAAAAAAAATTTTGTTAAGGCCTTCCTGTTCAATTGGCTACTTATCTTGAAATAGTCTGAATTAGGATACTTGAAATCTTGAAGTCATCTAAATTATGCAGGTAATTCAGGTCAGAGGTTCACTTGAAATACTTTTATGTGACTAACTAGGGCCAAATATGATTAAATGGAAAAAACCAAAGTGGCCATTTTATTTAGGCAGTTGAATATAGTCTTGGATAAAAATAAGACAGCCATATTCAGAATTTATTTTTGAACACCCACATTTCAGGAACAAGTTAATTATAGGTTATAAGCTATTGAGTAGAGTTACAAACTTGTACTTTTGATATATGCATTGTGGCATTTTGGTGGAATTTCCAATTTCACAATTTTGAATTAAGTTTCCATATAGAGATAACCTTATATCTCAAATTCCCTTTCACAATTATATGGATACATTATTTGAGAATTCCTCAGGAATGGATCATGTATCAAGTCTGTAGTCATTTAAAGGGCACCTGTTTAATAAAAGATGTTCTTTTATTTATTAGAGGCAGGGTCTTGCTCTGTCACCCTGGGCTGTAGTGCAGTAGCGTGGTCATAGCTTACTGCAGGCTGTAACTTCTGGGCTCAAGTATTCCTGCCTCAGCCTCCTGAGTAGCTCGGGCTATAGGCCCATGCCACCACACTTGGCTAGTTTAAAAACAATTTTTTTTTTTTTCCCTGTAGACAGAAATTCTCTCTATGTTGCCCAGGCTGGTCTCGAACTCTTGGGCTGAAGGGATCCTCCTGCCTCGGCTTCCCAAAGTGTTGGGATTACAGGTATGAGCCACCATGCCTGGTCAAGATATTCCTTTAGACTGAAATTTATATCCAGCATAGTTAAACTTTCTGTACAATGCTATCGGCAAAAATCCCTCTTTCATGGGGCCGGGCGCGGTGGCTCAAGCCTGTAATCCCAGCACTTTGGGAGGCCAAGGCGGGTGGATCACAAGGTCAAGAGATCGAGACCATCCTGGTCAACATGGTGAAACCCCGTCTCTACTAAAACTACAAAAAATTAGCTGGGCATGGTGGTGCGTGCCTGTAAT